TATATATATATATATATATATATATATATCTATATATATATATATATATCTATATATATATATATATATTTATATTTATATATACACACACACATACACATAAAATGCAGGGACGTTCCAATCTTTTTGGAGGCCCTGCTTACATCCAAAACTTTTGATTATATTGAATAAATGAGATAACAGAGAATATATGTTAAAAACAAAAATGGGCTAAACGTAAAATGATTAACAATCTGAAACTAAACCTAAACCATTAATGATTTGAACCTAAAACCAAACAATTAATGGTCTGAACCTAAATAATTTTGGTTACAGTTTTGCATAGGTCATTAAAAGACCCTAAACACATGTAAATTTGAGCCCCAAAATTTCGGGGGCCTGTTCAAAATCTCACATTTAACATGCTAAGGGACGACCCTGATAAAGTGAGGTTCAAGAATCTCATCTTTCTATGAATCAGAAGTTTCCCATCTACATGTAAGGTACCTTGGACCATTTGAGTTGCAAGGTCATTTTTGAACAAATACTTGTGATAGGAACGTATCACAATCGTCATAGTGCCCAACACGTTTTTGATTGCAACTCTTCTCTTTTAATCAATGGGTGTCGTTAAAACCACTTAAGCCGATCATTTTTTGACAATTTGAACCAAATAACATGGACATGTGTAGGTTTGTCGCTACCAAATTGGAAGAAAGCCAAATTATGGTGAAATGACGAGACCCACAAAAGAAAGTACATTAAAGATGCTTAGGAGACGTTTGATTCGTATAATGAAAGTTGGTGGAATTGGAATCCATAAAAAAAATTGACTTTGAAAAGAATTTGAATTAAATTTGATGGAATTTGACCATGCGTTTGGTTGATAGGAATTGAAATGAAGTCTCGCAAAAGAATAGAAATATGCATAATCAAGGTTATTTTTGTCTTTCTAAAACAAAGTTATAAATTATGTTACATTTGCCATGAAACAGAATTCAAATCCTTCACATATGCTAAGGAATGATCAAATCTCTCAACTATGGAATTTGGTGGAGTCCGGTGGAATCCAATCAATTCATTTCGTGAACCAAACATCATTAAGAAATTTGGTCAAATGAATTTTTCAATCCAATCCATCAAATTCCTTTGAATTTTGACTAAACAACCCCTTGGGTGTTGTTTATTTTATTTCTCCTTAAGTCTTGTATGAATTAAGTTGTTTGTAGTAATTCAACTATATGCATGGATTCAGTTAAGTTTTTTTTTTTTTTTTTATGTTGAATATATGGTTTGAATAACAATAGAAACCATTTTCCCCCTCAGCTAGGAATGGAGGTTGTCTTCATAAGGCCAAATGAGTTGAATTCTTAATGATTAAGCCGTAAACAAGGCAAAAAGAAAAAGAAAATGTCGTTGAATCGATTCAACCAGGAGGGGAAAGTTGAGTTCGTAAAAGCCAAATGAGTTAACTCCTTAATGATTAAGCCACAAACAAACATCCCGATGTATGTGAGCAAATAAGCCTTCTTACCATCAATCTCATCAAACAACAAACAAACAACACGAACACACATGTAACTTAGGTTGTGAAACAAAGATCTCGTAAGCCAAATCAATTTCTTGGGTTGTGGTGCACTGGTTAAGCCTTAAGGGGATGTAGTAAAAATCTCATCTACCCCGGGTTCAAATCCAGACACTGTCAAAGATCTTATGGCCATGAAGATTCACTTACAACGACACTAGACCATTCGTAGTCACCAGAGAGAGACTAGTCGGTGCACGTAAACTAACCCGAAAACACATGATTACCCAAAGAAAAAAGATCTGGTAAATCTACTTCACTTACTTAAAAACTTATTAGAGATAAACCAAAACATAATATGAAATTAAAAAAGACCAACGTCATAATTGTACCCAATTAAACGACCCATGTGGTTCCACCATGATAACGTATTCAAGCATGTCTAGCTCTTGTCTAGTGAAACGTATACATCACTTTTTTAACACTCTTTTATCTTGAATTTGACGGTTTTAACTTCGAAAAGCAAAAGATTTCATCTTGTAACATAACAACAAACAAAAGCTCCCAAATTTGATACCCAACTCAACCAAGAAAAAGGGCAAAATCATCACACCCAACAACCATGAAAAAAATCAATGGAAAGACACTTCGTTTCGTACCAAATAGACATGTTTCTTCATCGTAACCAAGAAAAAGAAGTCTTGACAAACACAACGATAAGATCTTGCGGGAAAAAAAAAGATTCCATGTTGAAATCGAGAAACCAGAAGCAAAAGCTGTCTTTGATGGTGTCCTCTTTATGCCTGACAGTTCTTAACCCACCTCCCCACCTGCTGCATACGACTCGAAAGACATGGAATTTGGTTGGTAGTGAATTGAAAACCCACATCATTATCAATGGCTTCTTTGTGGCCCCCTTGACCTTTTCTCACATTTTTTTGTGTTTGTGAGGGTGGGGGTTTCTTCTCGTTTCTCTCTCCACTCCTTTAAATGGGTTAAGAAAAGGGAATCATAGCAGTTGATGGTTTCGTGTTTTTCTAATTTAGGGTAACTGACACTCTATAGAATTTTCAAGACCCATGTAAGGGAATTTGCTTGTTTTTCACTTGGGAATTCTCGATTTCTACCGAAATTTGTGTGTGCGTTTGTGTTGGGTTTGGTTTGGTTGATTGTAGAAGATGCCAAGACCTGGGCCAAGGCCATATGAATGCGTGAGGAGATCTTGGCACAGTGATCGTCATCAACCCATTCGAGGTTCCATCATTCAGCAGATTTTTAGGTAATTTGAGTTTCGGTTTTTGATGTTTGTTCTACTTTTCTACTTGATTGGATGATAGAGTTGTGACTGTTCGGTGTTGGTTTGAGAGCTTGAATGGTTTTTGAAATAATGCACACCATGTGTTTGATCAGAGTCGTACATGAAAATCATTGTACGGATACTAAGAAAAACAGAGAATGGCAAGAGAAGTTGCCACTGGTTGTGTTGAAATCAGAAGAAATCATGTATTCCAAAGCCAATTCTGAGGTACTCATCAATCGTTTTTTGTAGAAAATTGTTTTTGAAATGTAATTCATTCTCTGATGTCTGTTCTTGATCTGGAAACTGTAATCAAAATCAGGCTGAATACGTGGACCAGGAAACACTATGGGACCGAGTTAATGATGCCATTAACACCATAATTAGGAAAGATGAAAGCTTGGAAACTGGTGAATTCTTGCCCCCTTGTGTAGAAGGTACACATTTCTTGTTAATTTTCACTTTCACATTCTTGATTAGATAAAATTAATTTCTGTTTTGATGGGTCTTCAGTTTAAAACTCAAAACTCGAGTTTACATTATAATCATTTGTTCCAAAAAAAATGAAATCCCGGACCATTTCAGATCGTATGTGTTGGAATCTTCTTTCTTAATCTAATGGGTTCCATATACTTTCATATGGTATCAGAGTTAGGGTCCAACAATCTAAAGAGTCAGACACTTTGGGACAATCTGTGTTTGTTGGGCCTCCGTTGGAGGGGGCGTGTTGGAGTCCCGGGTTGGCTAAACTTGACCATTTTTCGTTAGTATATACTAGATGGAATCTTCGTTCTCTCCTCAAAGGAGATCTTTTGAAGAGTAATTCAACGGGGTTCCACATATTCTCACGAAATCTCTGTTGTTGATGGTGTTTCAGCTGCCCTTAATCTGGGATGTGTTCCTGTAAAAACATCAAGAAGTCAAAGAAACAGTAACACCCGAAGCTACTTAAATCCAAGAAACCAAGATCCCATTGCCACAAATGCTCGAAACCTGAACTTACCAAATCATGAAAGACCGAATGCTGTGAATCAAATACATACGTTTTCCGAAACTAATAGGAATTTAAGACAGAATTACTCAATAGCCCCTCCTGGTCCCTCCTTTAATCCACCATCCATTGAAAATTTCCCTAAAAAACCCATCTCCATTGAAAGTAAAGCTTCTTTAGCTGCATCTTCGGTTTATCCATTATACTATGGTGTCAATTTTCAACCTCAAAACCCCAGATCAAGATTTCATACAACCCATCAGAATTCAAACACGATAATCATGGGCACACCAGTTTTCCAAACAGTTCACGAGCCTTTGCCACCGAGTTTCTCAGAAACGCCATTTTTGTTTAATAGAGATGATAGCGGTTCAAAGAAAATTGTTCACGAAGAACCACAACCATCACCAGTAGAATGTGATTTATCTCTAAGGTTGGGGAATTCAAGCAATTCCTGGGGCAGGCCTCAAAGTAAGGAGTTCTCTTTTTTTCCTTTGAACTCGGAGGGTGAACAAGTTCGGAATTTGGTGCCAGATTTTGGGAAGCGTAAGGCAGCGGCACCTGTTAATAACAATGTCGTAGACGGTGGACGGCGGTTGTTGCAATTAGAGCCCGATTTCAACCAGAAAAGAAGAGGTCTTTAGATATATTATTTGGTTGATTCTATTGCATTTTGCCAATTTTTGAAAAGAAAAGATCAGTAAAAATCTTGACTGCCCGAGTAATTGTGTTTTCAAGTGTTCTCATTTTGGTTCTTTGATGAGTTTACACTGTCATGCAGAGACCCAATGGTTTTCTTGCTTACTACCAAGTAAAAGTAGCAGATCCGTGTATATATATATAGAGTCATACGAGAATAGTTCCAAATAAGATAATAAGAAAACAGTCGAATGACATGTGATTTTACACTAAAATCACACCTCACCTCACCTCGCCCGCACATCCTTACGTTGACCGTTGGTGTAAAATCACACGTGATTTGGCCGTTTTCGTGTCATTTGAACCCCCCCCCCTCTCTCTCTCTCTCTCTCTCTCTATATATATATATATATATATATATATATATAAATCATGGTAATCTGGATATCAGTTTCTATCATTTTTGGGTTGAGTAGATGTCAGATCTTTACACATCCATAGACCCTATTTCCGAGTAAGATTTACTGGATTAGTTTGGTTTCGATGGATATTCCCATTCATCGTCCTTCTCCAAACACATCTTACTTGCATGGTCCAACCAGGTGCATTATTATGTTGCACCAATACGCTGGAATTCAAAACCGATGTATTAGTGTCCCATTTCTTATGCATGAAGTACACTATCACAATGCATGATGCGGACCAAAACAAACGAACCCATATATCCTATTCGAAAATAAGATTTAGAGATGAGATGTACGTAGACTTTTAATCTACTGAATAAAGGTTTCTATTATTGGAAAGACAAGAAAAAGTAGCTGGAAAATTAATTATACAATGAATTTATACCTTTTTATTAAAAAAATTGTACCGTAATTTATACCTTTTTATTAAAAAAAATTGTACCGTAATTTGTGCTTCATAAAGGTTGTACCTTGCAGCATGATTTGGTTGGGTGGTACCTTAACACCATTCATGCTGCAAATCCTGCTTGCTATGCATTACTTTGTTGTACTTAATGCATTAAAGATCAAACAGTGGTAGTACTTTTCTGCATAAAGTGTACCATAGGGATTATTGTCCATTTGGATGCGTCTGGTATTCAATTCAGACATTGTGATAATAGAAAAGTTGTTCAATATTTAATAAGACATGTTAGAGATTAAATTATTAATTTACCTTTAATGAGTTGTTTATATTTTGATTAATTATGTAATTTATTAAATTATAATAAAGTAAATATTTTATATAACAAAATATATGATTATAGAGTTTTCATCAAGACGATTAAATGACATCATAGTAAAGTGAAAGTTTAAATAACATAAAATACAATAATAAAATTTAAAAAATTGAATAAAATGTAAAGAGGAAGACGTATTTGATGTTTTAGAAGAGAATTACGTTTTATTTTGAAGTTATACTGATATAACCTAAAATCTATTTCACAGTATTCCAGCTTGTTCCATGGGGTAGGGGTGGAACACGCTTGTACTACTTTGTTCATGACTGTTTCATATAAAAGTTCTGCCAAATATTGAATAGTGATTACTGTTCGGTCTTATCCTGTTCCTATTCAATGTACCAAACGCACCCTAAAGTATATACCAAAGAGTTAGTGGTCTATCGGAGCACAACCTCCTTGAAAGTTGAAGATTGAAGTCTCATTGAATTTTTGTTTCGAATTATAGGTATATGTGGGTATCCGACCCGAACCAGATATAATATATTATATAATATAATTATTATATAATGTTTAACATAAATATTTATATTATTTACTTATTAGCTCACAGTTAAATTAGTAAAAGTCTTTTACGTTTTGGTGCGAAATATTACAGTGGATGATTAAATTTGGTGATATGAAGTCGTGAATGAGTCAGCATAACTGAAAAATAGATGTTATGTAAGAGCATCTGCAATGGTCAAGTCTTTAAAAGACTTGATTTATTTGTCATATTAGATTTATGAACAAAAACCCATCTTCAAATACTTGCTCCAATGGTCAAGTCTTTCGAAAACCTTTTTTGTATTCTTAGTTCATTTTTAATAAACTTACATAAATTATCCCTATCTATTTGAAATGTTTTATAAAACCCTTATTTTAAACCCAGATACGTTTTTTAGAACAAATAATATTTAACAATAACATGCAATTTAATAAAAATTATTACAACACGATATTGAAAAACTAGACCTAAATCTATGCCTAAATGCCATTTAATTTTCTCTATCTAGGGGTGTAAATGATACGAGACAACTCGCGAGCTACTCGAGATCAACTCGGTCAACACTCGACTCGAATAGGCTCGGCTCGAACTCGAGCTCGACTCGACATATTAACGAGTAGAGCCAAGCTACCCAATACTCGACTCGGAAAGGTCGTGAGATACTCGATTATTTTATATATAATTAGTTTCAAAATATAATCAGCTTTTATGATAAAATTTGTAAAACATAAATAATAAAAATGTCTTATATTTTTTAGATATTTAAACAAATTTATTCATTTTTTAATTATAAAAAGTAATCAATTATTTTTTATTAAGATCACAATTAGAAAAAAACAAAGAAAAACTATAAAAAAAAAAGGTTAATGAAATTGTCACACATTGGAAAAGATATTGTAAAAGAAGGTTATAAAAAGAGAGGAAGATGAATGAAATTTCTAACTTTTCCTTTTCAATGATAAAGTTTGAAGTTGATCCCTTTAGTTTTATAAAAACTAAGAGAACACCTTTAAGTTGTAAAATTTATAATAGAAAGACCCTAAAATTTCATAAACTTCAATGGATGAGCTTGTTTCGAGCTCTAGTTCGAGTTTGATTCGAGTTCGAGTTTGAGCTTAAAAAATAGTTATCGAGTTCGAGTCGAGCTTTGATTTTTACTACTCGCGAGTTTTCGAGTCGAGTTCGAGCTTGGAAATTGGGTTTCAAGATCGAGTCAAGTATAGTGATACTCAGCTCGACTCGCATCATTTACACCCCTTACCTCTATCAGCATTTGTTGATACATTACTTAGTTCGTTTCTTAGCGTATTTTCCATTAGCATTCTTATCTTGTTGATTTTTTAGACTTGTAGGATCTTTCAACTTCTTTGAAGTGTTCAGTTACACCTGTTTGATCGTCTTTACAAGCGTTCTCTAATGATGTAATTTAAGGGAGAGAAATCCATTCGTCTTTACTTGGATATTGGGATATAAAACCCCGCAAGCCTCCTACACTTCATCTTCTAGGTTATTCAAAGAGTTCAAGGGAGAGAAATCCATTTTCTTGCAGTAACGCATTGAGTTGAGATTCAAGGAAGAAAAATGTTGGTGTCGGTGGATGAAAACTGTATTGAAGATTCAAAACCACCATAGAAGCTTACGTCTGAGCTCTACCAAGGTAAAGCTCCAAAACTTAGGTTTTCTTCATCTTGGTCAAAATCTTGCATTCTTAGGGCCTCTTTGTTTTTCAACATTCTCCTCTTAATTACATCTGAAGTCTGATTCGGTCAGATATATACCATTTCAGACTGTTTGTTTTCTTCAACATTCTCATCTTAATTACATCTGTGTATTGATTCTAGTTGTTATGAGACACAGTGGAATTTTTGAATCTGTTAAAAATAGATGGTAGTTTACAAATGGTTTACATGATTGGATATTTCAGTTGAATTTAATTGATTCAGATTTCATACGTTTGTCGGTTTGCAAAAACAAGCAGTCTTATTGATTCTGTTTTCAGACTTCAAACAAACAGTCTGACTGATTCAGATTTCAGACTTCATACGTAAAAACAAACAGTCTGACTGATTCGAATTTCAGACTTCAGCATCACCTCTTAAAAATCAGAAGTGAAATCAGACTTCAGACTTCAGCACTTCTTAAAAAACAAACGCCACCTTAGTGTTGGGAGCTCAATGTTGAAGCTACATAGGTCGTATTATATCTATTTTGAGTAGATATAAGTTTGAAGAACATGTTTTCTTTCTTCAAATGAGATTTCCATGCTTTTGGAGTTATTGTGATCTTTTTGGGTGTTGTCTAGATCATATAAAAATCGTAATAAATCTCTTGTAGATCAGTTTGAGGTGTGTCATATGTCTCTGTTATCGTTGAGATGTTCTCTATAAACTGTTTGTTTTGAGGAAGAGCTGATTAGGATTGTATTAGGTGAAAATCAGGTTTAATAAAACCACTTTGTTTTATGACAGGATTGAGTAAACAGTCTTCAAATATTCATATAAAATTGGTTTTAAGTCTGTTAGTGGTGATTCTTAATGGCTTGAAATTTTTAAAAGGTTGTCTAAATGTTTTGTTTTGTTGTTTATTTGATGAAATATGCATCTTAGGTACATTTAATTTATAAATTTTGTGTGCCCATATTTGGTATTTTTGGAAATGTTGATAAATAAATCATAAGAGTGCGTCATTTTGATGATTTATTGAGTAAATGAAGATTATTTGACAATTAATGCACTCTTAGCATGTTTGATAAACCATTTGAAAAATGCACATTATTGTGTTATGAGACATTTTATAGATATAAATAGTATGATTTCATTTGGAAAAATGCAAAAGATGGGTTTTTGAGTTAATCATACTTTTGGAGCATGAGTTTGGATAAACATGGAATAAGTGCGTTTTACTGCTTATGATTGAATTTTATTTGAGTTTTCAAATAAGTCTGGGATTGTTGACTTGATTTTAGCCCATTGGAGTTTTAAGGACATTTGTCCAATTTGATTTTCTTATTAATTGAGCTTGGGATAGTTACATTTATTGCATATTTATTTGAGAATTACATGTTGTGAGTGCATTGTTCATTCATTTGGAGTTATGTAATTTAGAATATAATGCATTGGATCCATAGGTATGTGAGTCATTCGTGTTTGATAAGTAAGGAGTCTTGATATCCTGACTTTGTGAATGCTCATGTAAGCATTGTGGTCGTCTCGGTATTGCGGAGGCGAATTCTTATTAGTCAGTCTTTCCGGGACTGTGAGTTTTGTGTTTAGATGTTTAAACACTTATGCATGGGGGTTAGATGTCATGTGTTGTCAAGTAGGAAGCTTGATGTTTCTATCTTGAATACTAGCAAGTAAACACTTAAAGGTAAAATGGAACCTTGAGGTTGGAACTCAGCTAGAGAACGAATGGGCACTAAGATCTGGTATCCTTGAGGTGACGCTCAGTAGGAAGTGTGCACTAAAGGTCCTGTGAACTTGAGGTGATGCCCGATAGGGGGTGTGCACTAAAGGTATTGAGGACGTAAGGTAACACTTGATATAATGTGCACTAAAGTCAATGAATCTGAGATGTAGTTTGATAATATAGATATCGGACATACTTTTGTGTTCCTGCCACGTTCAATGGAAACAGGTCTCCCCCGTCACCAAAAGGTATTGTTTTTGGATATAGAGTTTATCCATGTTTTAAGTGTCGTTTTGCTTTGTCCATAATTGGTGGTTTTCAACGTTGGACCTTGTCCATGTTTTGATGTTTTGGATAATAGAGTTTTATCCGTGTTCGATATTTGAGTGATAAGTTTTTTCCTTGATTTGGTGTTTTCACATGGTTTATCTAGGTAGAAAGAAGATTGTGCAAATTGGATAAAAACAAGGTTTAACATTACCTGGCAAGGTGAGTTCAAGTTGCTTTGTGAAAATTTTGTACATACCAAAAATGTCCATTTTGGAGTCTTATGATGTTTTGAATATTTATCAAGTGTTATTTATTCATTTTTGGAATTTTTTATGATATTCGATACCATTAGCTTATGAGTTACAACACTCCCCCTTAGGTGTCCTGATTTACACCAAACTGCACTTACATTTCTATGTCTTGTATCTTCAACAATCCATCAAACATTCGCTTCGTCAAAACCTTGTTGGAGAAAACCCTTTGGGATAAAACTCTAGTCTAAGGAAAAAGAGTATGATCCAGATGTTTTGAGCTATTCATGCAATGAGGTAAATGTATGAGTCGAAACACTTACAAGTGTATAAGTCAACTGACTAGAGAATATGTGATTCGTCAAAACTTGGCCAAGAATACCCGGTGGGAAAAACCTGGTCGGAGGACAAAAGAGTACATAAGTGTCATGAGTAGCAAGGGAAATAACCGTACACAGTGTGCCTCATTAAAACCTTGTTAGAGAAAACCCAGTGGGAAAGAACTCTAATCAAAGGACAAAAGAGTGGACAATAGTGGGAAGTATGCAAATGGATACTCACCCTAATTCCGGTAATACTTGGTAAGAACGGGATTAAGTTTGTGTCTCGTTAAACAAATTACCAAGATAAACCAAATGGGACAAACCATTGAAGTAAAGATAAACAGAGTGAACAACATTCAACGGGACGCTCTCCCCTCATATGCATACAATATTGCGTTAAGTATACATGAAGATTCACACAACATGGTGTTAAGCATACGTTAGGATGTAATCCTCACTTGCACACAATATGGTGCATGATATATGTCATACGTTAGAATGCAATCCTCACTTGAATACAATAGAGCTTCCTAAGTCCAATTGCTTTGACATGTATTTTGTGAACAATTTTGAATGATTCTTTTCTGATCTAATATGTTGCACTCCAATCTTCTGAAGAACTTATTGTTCATGTGTAAGAAACAACTTTGTCCAAATGTTTTTAATGGTATAGCCTTTGTCCCACGGATGGCGTTTTTGTGAATATTTTTCAATTTTAAATCTCAATAAATTATTTCATGTGGATTTCAATTTTACCCACAAGGGTGGTACTTGATTGGTCTGAGTTTGGCTCCAAAGGTCAAAAGCACCAGGACAGGAGGTCCCCAGGTTCAAATCCAAGGAGAATAAAAATCCTCTTGTGGCCACAAAGGTTCAAATGCAGTGACTTCGGGCTATCGACAAAGCAGGTGGTCACTCTGGAATTAGTCGGCTCGCATTGCAGGTTGGATATCGAAGTTAATCAAAAAAAAATATTGAAAAAATGAATGTGGGGGTAAAATGTTATATTTTTTATTTTAAATAAAAAACAATAATTTTTTAAACTATTTATATTTTAAGATTAGGTTCTAAAACAACAAAAATGTTAAAATAAAAAACCTTCAGGAAAATATTTTAAAAAAGAAGCATATGATGATAATTTAAGTAGCAATAAAGGAAAGATGGGAATGTAAAGGATCACTTATTACATGATAATGTTACAAGTATGATATCTGCAACCTACATTTCCCCTAAATGCAGCAACAACATCAACATCAAAGAAAAGGTTATGATCCTATGACGCTACATGTAACAACACGACGACAAGTGACAGACAACCCCTAACGCTATGCCAACGAGATTATACATACATACATACATACACAATATCTCCTTGTATCAACTGTAAAATTAAACATTTAACCACAACAGTCATACCCACACACACAGACCATTCTACATGTCAACCTGCAACCAACTTCACAATGCCTTCCTATATCAAGGGATGTTTCGTGTTACCTTATCTTTTTACCATGGTTCCGACTCCACATGACAACCATTCTCCACTGTTGCTTCCACCTGCTTGTTCGTTTCTGGCTCTTTATCCCCAACATTACCCTTTTGCCCCTCTGTGGTGACGGTGACAGTGACAGTGGCAGTGGCAGTGGCAGTGGCGGTGCCACCATCATTCTCCGCCTTATCTTGATCATGTGCATCTGGGATTTCTTCCTTTGCCCCTACGGCAATAACACTGCCACCATCATTCTCCACCTTATCTTGATCATGTGCA